TTAATTAATAATAATTAATAATTAATTAATAATAATTAATAATTAATAAATAAACACATTTTTTGAGTGTTCTCTATTCATTTTAATAATAGTATTGCATTTTTCATTTATTAAATTTGTGTTAAGATTGCAATTAATGCCTCTAATTTCACAAATTTACATATTCAGGTAATATTAAACCGGATTTAAAGGCCAAGAAGAGTGGATTGAGTGGAATGTAGTCTAAGAGCCTCCATAATTTAGATAACTTTTAAATACTAAAAAAATGTGTAAATTACATGATTTATACAATATAAAACAATATTCAATGTTATAGTGTTGATGGGAAATATTTCTTTTGTGGCTACTGCATACCTAATTCCGGTTTTGGAGTGATACATTTAAGTAACAACAATTAAAGTATTAAATGCACTTTTATTCTATACATTATACATTATATTGTATATTATAGCATGGGGCATAATATACGTTATAATATAAATATATGAATCAATGAAATATCAATACCGATAAATAAATATAATATTTAATCATATTAGATTGCTGGAAAAAAAACTAAATTGTAAATAGATTAATCATCAGTCTAATTCAGCGGTTCTCAAACTTTTTTTTTCGCGTACCACATGTGTATATTATCAGTCACGTACCATTAATTATTAAAAATAGAATCATACAAACTTCACATAGTTAAATATAATTATTTTAAATAAAAAGGCAGTAAAATACTAAAATAAAATTATTATTTATATATTACTACGAATTTATTAGTGTTTTAAATTAATATATGAGTTAAATATTGAATTTTTAATATCCGTTCTACCACCATGCGGCCTTTCGCGTACCACCATGTAGTCTTTTGCGTACCATTAGTGGTACGCGTACCACAGTTTGAAAACCACTGGTCTAATTGATTCTGGTTTTAAGTTACTATTAATTTTACAATTTTAAAGTATTATTTGTTAATTTATTTACATAATAAAATATTCTGATAAATTACTAAAAATAAATTTAAATGTTATTGTTTATTCTCATATAATTATTTACAACAATTAATTTAGTACAAATAAACATATATATATATATATATATATATATATATGTATGAATTTAATACATATAAATAAGCAAAACAAAATTTTCTCATTATACCATTTTATTACATCCTAGATCTACTACAGTTAATTGTTGGACTCTTGTTATAATTTGGATATTTTATACTGTTATAATTTTGTAGAAGCCTGTCATTAATTTTTTCTCGGCTATTAGGACTTGTAAAATACTATTTTATATAAAATATATAAATAAATAAGCGCATATTTATGAACTAATGAGTATATAAGACTTTGGTTCTGAAAATCATGAATAATGTTTAGAGATGATCATTTAATATAAGTTTAATACTATTAAATTAGAAAATAATACACAAGTCAAGTATCCGAAATTTTTAATCAAGTTAATTTTATCAAATTACAAGTTCTTAAATAATAGACTAATTTAATTCAAAATACCATCGTTAAAATACATAAAGTTAAAAATACTCGTAATATAGCTAAAAATAGTTTATATTTTATTGTTGTTCAGATGATTATAAAGTAAACTTTGGATTATAAGAACATTTTTGTATTTTTTTTTTTTTTTTTATTTTGTTATTACTTATCTCTTAATAATATTTTTAATACTTTCATTAGTTGTTAAATATAAACTTGTTATGATTTCGCACTTATTTTCGCCTAAAATGTGTATTAGTACTACACAACATACATTGTAGAATAGTGTAGAATAAATTAAGCCATCGATTAGCTGGAATCTTAGACCCCCCCAAATATTTTAATAGCCCCCAAAATCTAAACTTTGTAAGAAATGTTATTCGTTGTTTTTATGATTATCTGTTCGTTTTTTTGAAAATTGTAAAATAAGTAATAATAAAAAACCATTTACAATACCATTAACAATACCAATTACATAGTTTAGCTACATGCTAAAGAAGTTTCAGTGTAATGAAAAAAATAAAAACTTGGCTAAGGACATCGTTGGTTCAATATAGGTTCAGCGATCTTTCAGTAGTATATATTAAAAAGATATATCGAAAAATATAAAAAGCGATGATATGACGTTATTTAGTGTTTTTTTTTTTTTTTTTAATACAATTTAAACATATCTATATTTTTAATGGTAATAAGTTTTACTTGTAAATGGGAAGGGGGTGTGGGGGCGAAGCCCCTGCGGGTTATTTTACATTGAATTATTATAACCCCCCCCCCAAAATTTAACCAAATGTCCACCTATGTGTATGACCTATCATCATCAGATATGAGTAAACACCATATACAGTGAAACCTCGGTATCTCGAAGTTTCTGTAGGTCGAATTTTTTTTTCAGTCCTGATCATTCAGTATTGGACTTACGTACTCAGTTATTTCCTTATATCGAATTTCCATATGCCGAATATTTCTATAAGTCGAAGTCATTATCCGGTACCTACCACTTATTATGATTCACTAACTCGAATATATTACAGATTAGATAACGTATAAAATGCCCAGACTATTAAATATAAGATTAAATGACAAAGCTTATACAAATAACGTTGTATGTAATAATTTTTGGATATTGATTCTACTTTGAGCACATCAGAAAGTTTAACCGATGCGGAAATTTTTAAAACATCTGATTTTCTCAGTGAGCCAGAGACAGATTCTGTCGATGAAGCAATCGACGAGGAAGAAATTGCTGTTGTTAAATCTTTCATACGTGGTGTCCAAGCACCACGAATCTTCGAAGTTCATGTATATAGTTTTATATACATGAACTTCGAAGATACGTTCAACAACAGTCAGGAGTTTCTGACAATATATTTTCTGCACTTAATATTTTAGGTAGTTTTATTGAAAATACTTCTAATACTAAACAAAAAACAAACAAAAATGTCAGATTTTCTACTTTCATAGAAAATAATGTATACTTATCCAAATGATGAATACTAATACATAATATGTATTCAAAGTATAAATACATTCTATATTATAAATACACATTTTTCCCAATAATTTAACATTTTTATTTCAAATTTTATTTATGTTTTAAATTCCCTCTCTAACTCGAAGTTTCGATATGTCGAATTTTTTTTTTGGTTCCTTACGACTTCGAGATACCGAGGTTTCACTGTATTTATTATTTAAAATTAATTATTTTTATATTACTATATATTTTTAAATTATTTTTCCCGATGAAAATCAGTAATTAGTAATCACATTAATAATATTGTTGGACAATAAACAAAACGGTAGATTTATAAACAGCTGAGAAAAATCACCGGATTCAATTCGGTTTCCTTTAGAAAATTTAGAAATAAAAGTTAGGTTAAAAGATTTTGTTTTTACTATTTTTGTTTTATGTACATTTAACTTAACACACAATCTATTTAAAAATAACGTTTGTATATAATAATAATATGTGTGTTTTAAAATGTGTGTATTTAATTATATTATTCACAATTATAAATAATAAATAAAGGTAGGTCTTGTATTATCGAAAAATTATGTAATATAAATGAACCCCATTTTTTTTTCAGTGCCGTTTCGGAAAAAATTGCCTGGAAGAAACACTGGTCACGACATAGATCTTATAATATTTCATTATAATATATATTTTAATTCGATTATTCAGTTAATTATTGTACGCATTCTAGTATTAACAATTGTGGACACACTCATTGTGAAATGGCTCCTTGACTGAAATGTTAGCTTATCGCTGTGCTGTAATTACAGTGATAGTAATTGTGCTATAACTTTTTGATTTTCATGTTTTTAAATTATTAAGAAAACTAATAGGAAATTCGTGAAATTTTCTCCTTCAAAGTACCAGATAAATAAAATTTTCTATCAGAAACATTTACCTTCCATGGTTTTAAGGACGGAAACATTTCTTCTAATCGAAAATGTATAAGAAAACACACATCGTGGTAAAACCAATACATTTCTGATTTCATTAGAAATCTAAAATTGAAATAGTTGGATCAGTTTTGTCTAAATATTATTTTTTAATACACACATAGCGATTATTATGACAAAAATATTAGAGGTATAAGTTATTGTTAAGGCCAATAAAGCAACGTTCTAAGTCGTCGTCGTTATTGTGCCAAATTCACGGTCATCGACTGCCGGTCTGTCATCACGCATAAACACGCATGGACATATAATTATCATTATTATTATCAATTATTATATAAGATGTTAATTTTATTCACGAAATCGGCGCCGCCGTCAAATTACGTGATCTCTTAATTTTATTATATTCGATTATTAAATACTCATTTGGTGACATTCTTACTTTACATTTCGTCTGTAACTTGCATAACAACGCGTCGTGACCAAATCAATTTTTTAACTTTAAAAATCATTTTTTATAATAATTATAAAAATAAAAATACAATAATAATTATTGTAATCCGGTGTTGCGGACATACATGAATGTAGGTCCTTACGACTCTTACAGTACGGGCGGGTCCACATAAATTATAAATATTAGAGAGTAATATAATATTCGCAATAATAGAAAAGAACTATTAGTTTAAAACAGAGAGTAAAGCAATATTACGACTCATACGACATGGACGGGACCATGTAGATCGTAATGGTAGATATCAAGAAAATAATTATTATTAACACAATATTCGCATTCATAAAAATAGAAATGAATTTTAATTAAAAGTCAGAGGGTAAACCAGTACATATATTATATGCGAATCGCATGGTTATATGTAGAATTTTAATTGGAAAAAGTCGTGACAATTATCATGCGAATAAGAACTAAATAAGTGCGAATAAGGTCATCTAGGTAATAATTAGCGGGCTAGAGAAAAATTAATTAATATAGTTGAAAACAACTATCGCCCAGCGCGGTACGTTTGATCTTCGCCAAACCTAAGTATATAAGGGGGTTGGGAATAGACCAATATTCAGATGTGGTTTACATGTACAGTCGCAAGCACCTTCACGCCACATTATTTCGTAAATTAATGTTTTGTACTTAGGAAAATTATTAAATAAACAGGTAAAATTTCAATTGAGTGTTTTATTGAAGTCTATCCTTTAAAAACTGAACCATCATATACGATTGAGCGACGGCACGCAACACCGGCTCGAATAGCCAGGTGGATTAAATTATTATACAAGCTGAACTACTCGACTTCGCACGGAACAGTCTTGGTTGGGACGTAGTTTTTAATGGATTATTATCTCACATTATATAAACCCTAGTTTAGAGTTACTATTATTTATTAAAACAAATGGAACGAAATTTCAAATAAAACGATGTGGAAGTTTTAGTTTTACGCTGAATTAATCGGTTTTCCATCATGGAACCATCTTGCCGGTGTCAACATTTTTTAAAATCCTTTCTTATTGCTCGTCTAAAGTTAGAGACCACTATGTTAAATTCAAATTCAATCATCTTGTACTTTTTTAGATGTAGCGATGATCAAAAAGTGAGTGGTATTTGAATTTTTTACATTAATAAGTACATTATTATTTATTTATAACTGAATAATTCGGCATTGGCTGGTAAGGAAATTGTCAGTGAAGGTCTTCACAAACTGTTTGAAACACTACTTCATGTCCTTTCTTCCAATTTATTAGCCTTCCACTACTAGCTTAAAAATGGGTGTGTCCTGATTGATTTTCGTTTGTTTTTTCAAGTAAAATTGTTTCACTTACTGGCATATTTTTATCTCGACACTGTAAAATCATTTTAATAAGCATTCGGCTATGTTTAAATTATGAGTAATCCTTATTTTTTCAATTCCATTTTCCCATTTTTGAACATTAAAATTTATCTTTTTGTTTAATAGTTGACTACTATTTATCAGGTGGCGAGCTGAATTGTGTTGTAATTTTACATTTGTTTGCGATCACCTTTTTTTAACTAATGATATAAAAACGAACTTTTCCGCAGTTGTAAGGTTATTTAATTTCCTTTTATTACGATTTGTATATTCTATTTTACAATGTGGCCGATTTGACTGCAATTTTGATTTACAATCCACGGTGATAAAATATTCCTTTTTAAAATCCATTATTTTCCTGAAATGAACTCAACAATTGGCGATCATACATGTCTTAACGCCGAAAGTATAATGTCTTACAGATAATGAAATAAAGCTGATATTGTATAATATTGTGGAGATATTTTACAAGTTTGAATTATCCACATTATTTTGATAAATCATTTCTAAATATCGAGTGTGCACGATGTGTACCATTTTGAGTTAGGTTAGTTGAGTTTTTTTCGTGTCCGTACCAAATTAATAAAATATTAATACTAAACTAGTATAATGCTGACGAACAAGGCAACATCGCTAGGCAATACCTTTTACATAAATGTATTTTGCAGTCGACGACCAGTCGATTGTTAGGCTCGCATACATTTCGATTAATTTCACTATAACGATTACATTTGTCATTGTATTTTAGACATTCTAGACTGCTTTAGTTTATTAAAAAAAACTCTTGTTAAATAACAGTTAATATTTGCAAATGGATTAGTTTGTATTTAGTGAGGTATTATATGATATATTTCGTTTGTGGAAAAGGGTTTTTTGTACCTGCCGCATACGTATGCCATGTAAATCAATTATAATTGCACTTATAATGATAAAATTCGGTTTTAATTTTAAGTTACATTATATAGGAAAATACATTTTACGATTTATTCCTTTTGTCACAATCTATTATAATTTAAAAATTAAACCACAGTTTCAACACGAGTGCAGTTATGTCAAGGAAAATGTCTATATCATATACTTCTATCGAATTATTAAATACATTTTATTAATACGTTTTAAGTAGTGAGTGGTCAATAAATATAAAACAACTATCGAGATTAATGTTAAAAAATAATTTTATCGAAAATATAGTATATTTAATAATTACTTAGCGAAATTCCATCTCAAAACTCCAAAAATACGCTCTGTTCCTCAAGGTTCCACGAAACTCAAGTGATTTTTTGAAAATATTAAAATAAATTAATATGAAAAATCTAAATTATGAATAGAGGTGGCTAGAGAAAAATATTCGTGTTAACTGGACCTATTTAAAAAATATTATTATATTTTAGTATTACATAATATTCAATAATGGTAGGAAATGTACAATTAATAATAATATATACCTATAGTGTTATTTATATAATGCAAGAAAAGTCGAAAACCGTTAAAGTTGATTGCGAAAAATTAATACGTGGCACGGGCCCACGTAATTAAGAAAGATAAAATTATAATTTAGTTTCAACAATATGTACGAACCAAATAAGAATCATTAAAATTTCTGAATTAAGCTTATATATACAGTTTTAAATGTTATTGTTTTGTGAATGTTCCCAAAAGTCAATAACTCAACAATAATTAACAATAACGTACCTAGTTGAAAAATAAAAGTTATTTCTGTAATTCAATGTTATATAAGCTAATGAACACATATTTTGTAGTTATTTGAAATGCATTTGTTTATTGCATTTCAAACATCTGCATAGGTCAAAATGTTAGGTTAAGTCTAACTTTTTTCATGAATTTTTACAAAATCAAATAAACCGTCACCAACAAAACTTAATTTGCCTGAGACATAATAAATTTCATAAAGATGCTTCAAGATCTATATACTTTTTAATATTTTTACTGATCACACACGATGAAAAATACTCTTAAAAATTTCATTTTAACTATAAATGTTTATTTAAAAAAAAAAAAATTGTATTTACGAAATACAATTAGAATCTTTATTCTGTAAAGAAAATATGTCAATCATTATTATTATTTATTTACCTTTTGATGATAATTTATCAGTTTAAAAGTGAAACGAAGAATGCATTTTTTTGTGAGTCTTTGAACACGATTTCAACCAGAAAGAGTACTCCGATCATCACGATCATAGAACAAAAGTGGAGGTTTCGGTGTATAGTTGGTACTTTGAGGAAGGTAAATTTACTCATTTTCCAACAGTTTTTAATATTTACGAAAACTAATCGAAAAGTTATAAAAAAACAACAATATTTACAGAATACAGGTTTTCGAAAAAATTAAATTGTTGTTTTATCATAACCAGAATAATAACAATTACAGAACCTTGATATTTTTACATCACTGATATAATTTTCCAAAGATAATAAATATGTGTTTGAAAATGTCAAACTTTCGTAGTTTTTTTCATAAAATATAGATAAAATAATTTTGGCCAATTCTGGAAAAATAAACTTAAAAATGTAACGTTTCTCGTGCATATCTCTTACTAATAAATAAAAAAAAAAAATAGCATAATTTATAATGTTTGAAAATTAAATGTTGATAAAACTCAATAAAAATCACATAAATCCACTACATTTTTTTCGTTGAAAAAGCTAAAAAAAATTATATAATTAGAAGTACAATATTTTTATTTTATATTTTATGTATTCTATTGGCATTTTTTGATTTTTACCAAATTTTTAATTAAAATCGATTATTGCTTGCTAATACGGAAAGAACAAAATTGCATTATTAGTCGTTATGTATCGATATTAAAATTATATTTTGCACATTCGTAACTATTGGTGATTGAATCTGTTTGTCAATTGTTTATAGTCATAGAAGAACCTAGTTGATTTATATGAAGTATTAAATCATTTTCTAAACCATCCCACTAATTGAGCATTCATATCAGATTCGACTAAAATAAATTACTACATTTATTCACATTTTGATTTCAGTGTTCTCAGTTTTTGTTTAAAAAAAATAAATCTTTGTTATTTTTTCAAGACAACAATTTGAGATCAGGACAGACAAATATTCTAAAGATGAAGAGTGTACCAGTCGTGTCCAACCTTACTAGCACAGGAGTTGTAGGATACAATAGCAACAGCTATACCATTATGTTTCCGGCTTTACCAGCTTTAAAGACATTGGGCAACATAGGGATTAAGCGTCAGAGTGCAGTGTTTGAAAAACGGAGTATAGTTAGAACTTCAACTATAAATGAAGTAATTCATCATGCCATTTTAATAATAATTAATAAGTATCAGTACGATCAACATGGTTGCATGTCTTTGCTATTGTAATGTGACCGATACGTTATCATGATTTTAACCATGTAATCAGTTCAGGGTATTATATTTTATCGAACGTGTCTTCAATTTTAAGGTGGATAACATATCCTATCCACGTACTACCCCAAGTCCAAACGGTCACTGTCATCATCGCTTTATTCACCTATCCTTACGGGAAAAAAAACCAAACCATTATTTTGCCTAATCATTTTGCTGTCTTGACCAACGAAGGGGATAACGAGATTCGACAGCTCTAGTGATGTTGCCAATGTAATCAATGGATCTATTTTAAATCTAATTGTTGACCATCAACATGACAACATTAGGATTCCAAACATTAAAAACTTATCAACTTTCAAAAACACGTTGATACAAATCATCGATCTTAACAGGTTAAAGTGTAACTTATCGTCTTATTTTTTGATTGTTTGCTTTCAATGCACCTACGGAACACCTAATTGTCACTAGTGCTTGTTTTAGCACTTTTATGCCACCAACATATTGACCCTACAAGGTTACAATCAGAAATCTGCACCACTCAACTCTCATATCTGATATGTCTGATGACCTTTTGGAATTAGGTCACTCCTCCAAAAGAATTAATAATAATACTAATAATATTCTATTATCTTATAGCCTTATGAACGATAAAACGTTTTCGAAATTTATTTCAGATCTTTCGGTATTAATAAATCCCTTAATTTCCCTTCTCAAAGCTATTCTACACAAACAGTTTATTCCATAGCTCAAATTATGTTCTACCTTATTAATTTAAATAATCACGTCTTTAATCACTGAATATGTTATCTGTTACCAATCAGTTTTATTGGGTTTTCAATCCATATTAATTATCTCAATTTTATTTTATTAATATTATTTTATGATAATAATTAATGTATTTTAATGTTAAAATGCATACTTAGTTATCTTATTCATTTGATCTAATTGTTAAGCCTTAACAACTTTGTGCTGAAAGCTAAATAAAAAATAATAAAATTATAGAATGATAATTTTGATATTATAGGTCATCATTATTAGGATTTTAAATACAATTTTTCATTATGTCTAAATAGTTATGCTCTAGAAAGTTTTTGTGGATTTATATCTGGTGTAAAAATAAAATAAAAACTTAATTTTTATTATGTGAAATTTGTAGGTATTTACAATAACTGCCGAAAATCATAATTTGGATGAGTGTAAACAATACGAGGAAGAAAAATCTAAAGACGTATATAGAAAAATTGCTACAGAAACTAATGTGGAAATAGAGGTCAGCATATCAAAAAATATGAACTTGACTTTTCTCGTCAGGGGAAAAAAAGTTAACGTTGATCAAGCGAAAGATAAGATTATCGCTAGTTTCCAAACCCAAGTAAATTATTTGTAATTAAGTATATTTTTGTGCACAAATTATGAATTATGAATTATTATTTTTTTTTAATATTTTAATACTTAAATGTGCATATTAATATAAAATGTTTGACGAATCATTTGTTATTTTATAGTTTTTTGTACGTATAAAGAAATATAATAATATTTTTTTCTTTAGCAAATTACTCGTACTATTAATGTTGCTAAGGAACATCATGGTAAATTAATGGGTAAAAAAGGAGTGGTCCGAAAAAATATCGAAATACGCACCGGATCACGTATACATATACCAAGCATTAAAAATACGTCCGAGATTATAAATGTTACCGGAACAAGAAATAGTACGTCAAAAGCAATAAAAGTATGTATCAAAAATATGTTTTAACGAATCGAAATTTTTTTTAATTGTATGTATGAAGTAACCACTAAAACCATTCATTAAAATTTTAAAACCGTAGATATTATTTAAAACATATGGGTTATTCTAAATCTTAATTCATATATCACTCGGTCAGTGATTAGTGTACAGTCAAAACCACGATCACAACTAATTTGAAATATTGGGCAAATATAAATTACTTGTTACTAACATATTTATAAAAGTTGTAAGGATGAATTGTTGCACAGTTTTTTGATTTGAACTAGTAGCATATATTTTTTCATTTTTCCATTATTATCCAAGGAATATTTTGTCTTGTTTAATATGATGAATTTAAAAAATACTGATCGATGTATTTGTAAACTAATATTGTAATAATATTAATGTAAATAAAAATCGTAATAATATGATGGTTTTACCCTTTTTTCGATCTAAAATATATTTTTTGCGTCAAAAAAACTAATTGATAAAATGTAATATAATCAAATCTCTTATGAGAGGGACAGGAAAATACTATTAGTAAAAGGGTGGAACCTTTTTTTAAGGGTGGAAACTATTTTTAACGTAAAATATCAAAAATGATTTGATATTTTTTTCTTCATGTAAGCAATTAAATAATGAAACATATTATTTAAAAATCAACATAGTATAGCATTTATTAATTAGGTTATCCATATTGAACTTTTTAGAATATAAAATGAAAATTTTATTTATGAAAATAAAATTACTTAAGTATTTATTGATTTGCTTGGTGAGATTTTTGTTACACTTGATTCCAGTTAATTTATATTCGGTTTATAATTTATACATTTTAATGTAGTACAATGCACTACTCTAGTCATGGGTTGGTCGATTTCTATGTTCACATTTAATAAAATTAATTTCCAAAAAGAATGACTCGCATGAATAGGTTAGAGAAAAATTAACAAAATAGTTAATTTTGGCCGTACTATTTATTTTTAAAAATTAAATTAAAATTAAAACCTTAGTAAATATTCGAAAATGTCATGATCTCTAAACTAAAATGTAGATAAAATTATTGAAATTCAACAATAAGTCTGAAAATATACAACAACTTTCCATTATATATGTATCTTATTAGTTACTAAAAAATTAGCGTTATGTTAAAAAATAAATTTGTGAGCATTTTAACATTGAATGTTGACTAAACTCGATACCTATTCATTGAACATTCATTTTTAATACATTTGGTTTACGTTTTTACAGAATTTCTGTTGAGAATTTTTTTTTAAAAGAATTTACCTTGTCACAAAAAAAATTTACAAATCTTATGTATTAACGAAATTGGTTATTTCAACAAATGTCCAAAATGTAGTTTCATCGTGATTTTCTAATAATTTAAATTATTATTAGGAATTGGAGGAAATTATATTGAAGTTGAAAAATATAAGTGAAAAAGAAATTTTAATTGATCAACGTCATCATGGAGCTATGATCGGAGTTAAGGGTATAAAAGTTAAACAATTTCAAGAAACCTTTAATGTTAAAATTACATTTCCCAGTCTAGGTAATTAATAATGATAATATATTTGTTTTTTTGCATATTGTTTATTAATAAATAATATTTGGTTCGATATTTTAGATGAGGCTAAAAACAATTTAGTCAAAATACGAGGTCTGAAAGACGATGTAGATAAAGCGTTTCAATCAATATCTGAATTGGCTAAAGCATTGGATGAGTCTTTAAAATTTCCCAAACTTGGTGCTGGAAATAAAGTTGTGATTAATGCTAGCAAATCAAATGTTGCTTTTAAACGTCGATTATTATTATAAAAGATTAATATCGTCATGTTGACATACTGTTATGTAATATTCATTAAAATAATAATTATATAAAAAAATGATTTTTGTGCTTTTTATATAAAGATACCTATAATGGCTTTCAAAATTATTGCAAGCCCTAATTTTTAGTGTGCACTCCCGAAACCAAAATTCTGCGAACGTCTATGTTTTTATGTACTATTAACCAATATGCAGCCGAAGCAGCCATCGTAACTCTAGAAGAGTTTTTTCACAATGCTTCAACTGTTGTGATCACTAACCCCTAAAACATATACTGAACAGCTTACGGAATCCATTTCTACACCAATGACGACAACTCTTCGCTTATTTCTCAGGTTTATAGCAGTGATAAATTATAAATTATACGACTAGAGTCGAATGCAACAATTTTAAAAATAATAAAATAAATTAAATAACATAAAATCACGATCGAATAAACCAAAGGATAATTTAATATAAGAAATGCCACCATTATTTTTCGATTCTAAAATTACATATTAATGCATGCCATACGTGTTAGTATATGCAAAAAAAAAATATATATAGTATCACCAATCAATTCCTTGTTTCACTCATAATCTAAAATAAAATCAGTTTGTTAAAACCAGGGCTCGGAAGTTCTAGCAAATGCATATTTTTCTTGTTTCATCCTAGAACATCCGATGTAAAATACAAATATGTTTCAAACTACTCGGATATTATCAACTAATTTAAAGATTTGAAGGAATTGCATATTTATAGTTATGTTATAGAGCTGTTGAATCTTACACATTATAAAAACTACAAATTAAAATTGCAGGCAATCTTGACTAGAGCTCTTAAAACACGTGTCACGGAATTCACGTGTACACGTGAAATACATGTTTATCCAAAATATATATCCATTTTTACAATGGTAAAATTAGTAATTTTATGTTATACACTTGAAGTTTTAATAAAATATTAATAGTACAGTATTAAGTTAAGGATATACGTTTTTATTTTGGATTTTACACATGACACGTGACACGTGAATTCCGTGAATTCACGTGTATTAAGAGCTCTAATCTTGACACATGATAAATCAAAATCATAACTAAAAATAATACTAAAATATTTAATAGATCAAATAATTGTATTCAAATTTTATATTATATTCTATTATAGACAACGCGTCATCGGTTAAAATGTTTACTTAAATTTGTGGTATGTTTAAATTACACGAGGTTTTAAAATCAAAAGATTTTATCTATAAATTACAGTTTGCGAGCGCACATATATTATGTACAAAGTACACAAGAGTTGTCACTTGACTTTTTGGTTCGTATAATTATTAATATTTACTGTACACATACATCCTATTATTCACGATAATTTTATGCGATATATTATTTTTGGTGGATACCATATGAACCGAGAGAAAGAAACTAAGAACACTCATCGTGTTGGAAGAAGTACTTAAGGAAACATTCTATTTTCGTGTTTTTGTGCACTCGTAAACCAGCTTTATTGCCACTATCTAGATTAGGCGTTGAACGTTGTCCAAAAAACTGATCAAGGCTCGAGGCGGCAGCAAATCTAAATATGTTCCAGAGGAATTTCGGGATAATTTTAGACTATTGGTGTGCTTCCTGTCATGACATTTTGGCATTTTCGTTCAAACAAAAAAACAAAAAAGAAGAAATAAATCATGAAAAAGGCAAATAATTTATATTAGTATAAGTAATTATAACATTAAAAATATAATTATAATAATAATTAAAATATAATTTTTCATCATTTTCATAATCGATCGGTAAGTTAATAATCATTAAAACATTAGCTAATTAATTGCAATTTTATCTTATTTTTGTAACACAAATATGCATGTGTGTATAATATATTGTATGTAAGTTTGTAGTTAAATATATAAATATTTATATAAACAAAGTATTCATTCTTCATTGTGTTTACAGAACATTTTAGGAACTAGTGTAAAATATTTTCTAGCATGAAGTGCAACGTGGTCGTCATATAAGCTCTATAGTATAATATAATGCATTCTATGCAAAATAATACTACGATAGTAAGTACAACGCCGTTTACATAAAAATATATTTTTTTAATATATAGGTTTGATTTTTTTTTTTTTTAACATAAAGAAAAAAAATTGAAAACTGAAAGTAATTAAAAACCAACTTTTTTTTTTTGTTGGAAAATTAATGAATTAAAAATTATAATATTAAAATAAATATTTAAATTTGTATGCTTTCTAAAAATTGATCACTAGGTGGAAAAAATAATTAATGGTGTGAGATTGGAATCAATTTATCGGGACCACCGAGAGCGGGCAACGGTGCTTCAACAGTTAACACGCCATCTTTACTGAGGGACGATTTGATAGCCTCTGGATTGGTTCCTTTGGGAAGTAAAAATTCACGGTTATACTCTCTGTAAACTGATTTTGAATCCGATTTTTCCTCGTGTTTAGCATGTACCTAAACAGATAACAAATGAAAGGGAAAATGAATATAAATAATTTAATATTGATTATCCATAGGTAAATAGGTCCAACAAATAATAGTAATTATAATTTCTATTGTTTTTGCAGTATCTGATGTTTCTTAGATTTAGCTTTTGAAGTAATAGGTTATGCCTAAGTAATAGGTATGAACAAGGAAATGGGTAAAACTAAGTAGACATTTAACCATAATCAGACAAAACGATTACCTTGAAATTATAAATATCATACACAGATAAACCATAATTGTGTATAAAACTGAATATATAGTATAAAAAATGGAACCTACCTACTCTTATAAATAAAATATTTAAAACACAAAATAATATTTTTATTATAAAAATAATTGTTATTATTTACAATTACTTGAAAACAGACCAATAAAGTACCTATTCTGAAGATCTAGTTAAATTGGTCTAGTGATTTTAGGTTCAGATCACTAGAGCGTAATATAACCTAAGTACATATGTACAAAAATAACATTGCATTGTTCTTGGTTACAAATTACTTTTTACATAATAACATAGTGAGTTTAATCTAAATCAGATATTTTTATGGTGAGCTCCATCGTAGATGCATTGATTTTATAGTTTTACAGATTTTATTGAAATAGTTAACGATTCGTTATGCTTTATGAACTTATAAAATTAAAATTAGTAAACTCTTTAAGTTCAATTTAATAAAATTAAAATCAACAATTTTATATTTCGACATTTAAGAAAACGTTACAACGTTCTTTCAATTAATTAAAAAAAAAACCAAACTTACTTTTTACTTTACTTATTTTTTGTAAATGTTATATTTTTTTATAAAGGCTTATATCAGTATAAAACTAACTAAATAATCGATCCAACATCATCCTATTATGAAATTTTTTTTATTTTTTTAAATCAACCTAAAATTACTTTTTTAATGAATATAATATTAATAACTCGTATCCGACATGAACCATAGTATATTAAATATGTTTAAGTTATGTATTACTTGCATCTTGCACACGAGATGATTGTTACGAAGGCTCCTAACCATTTATGGAGTTTATCGAGTGTAGACAAGGTCGATTAAGGCGTGGGTCGTTTACAAGTGTGTCGTGGCGTGTGTTTTAATTTTTTTTTTTTTTTATTTGAATAAACGGGCACTCCTAGGCGAGAGAAAAAACAGGTGGACTATATGTAAATAAGTGATCTTTGGAAAATATTAAAATTAATAACAAAATAAAATATCTTCGATTTAGTGTGACAAATCTATTATTGAGTTTACAAGGTTTCGATACAACATACGTGTAATAAACATGTAGAACAATAATTCATTTATAAACGTATACATTTTTTTTTAGAAGCTTAATAAAATATTTAAACCATCAAGGTCGCACGCACCAACGTTTACATTTCTACAACATTAAATGTGTGAAGGTTGGCAAATCCGTGGTCAACTTGAGCAATTATTTCGATACTATTTACGTTCGACACCACCTTACATAGTTGTGGAAATTAATACCATTCACACAATGTAATTCGTTTCCGGCTTTTAAAGTAACTCTTCGCCATGTGCAAGCTTAACACAATTCTTTAAATAGTACATTGACTACGAGGCATTATAATACGCAAGAAATACTTAATAACAAAACTGGTTTCGAAATTATTTCGTTACACGTAAGAACTAGACGCATCCGGTGTTATTTTATTTTTATCGTACAACTATAATATGAGTAGGAAGACACTTCACTAACGATCGGTGGTAACTCTATGAAAAACCTTATGGTTTTTTTTTCTAATTCAATCTGAACTCATATACGTACCAACAATTTGTTGTCGACTGTCTTGACAACAATTTCCTCGGGTTCGTATTGACTGACGTCGAATCTAAGTTTTAACATTTTATTATCACCATCTTCTTGGATTAGAGGTGAGTTGATGTTTTCAACCCAACCACTGGGTGTGGCCCCAGTTGACAATCGACTTGGTGGTAATTCACTGTGATTTGAGGTGATAGTGTTTTGAGAGCTAAAAATAAATAGTAAAATCAAAATTACAATATAGAAATATTTAACTATTTTTGAATTCACATGCTTGAATGATAAAAGAAAGAATAAACAAGATGCTTAAAACTTAAATGTGTAGTTACAACGTGCGTATAACGTGTGTCAAAAAATAAAAGTAATAAATATAAAATAATTTATGAACAAATACAACCATAGATATTCTAAACAAAATAAAATTTGTAAATTTTGACCTTAGCGATTTTTTATACATTTTAATTAGATAAAAGAATTTGTCAGATAACCATCCTAGTCAAACAATATGGTTGATACAATACTATTAATTATGACGGAAAAAGAGTTTTTATAATAAATCACAATTTTAAAATCGAGGAAAATAAGAGTTAATATTCACTTTGCACAATTATTTTTACTAATCTCTAAATTAATTGAATACTATATAAGTAAGTTAGAAACTATGTTAAAGAATTTACATTAAACAGATAATTTTTTATCTTTATTAATAAATCAAATTTTTGTTAATAATGACATCCTAGTTCGAATTTTGGAATTTGAAGTTACAACAGGATATTAACAAATCAGATACAATAAGAACTGTAGGTGTATGACGAGTACCATAGACATTTTGGTTACAAAATGGCTTAAACAATTACTTGATGGTAATTTGCACTGCTGTTGTCATTTGTGAAACTATTAATTTAAAATTTAAATAATGTATCTACCCAACAAATTTTCTATTATTCAATTTGACATATACGAGGTCAAACTGTAGTATTTATACGGCTTCCATTATTATAGTTATGATCTGTATGTCAAAAATAATAAATATTCTTTTTGCAAAAAAATAAAAAAAAAAATAATAAGGAATGAAAGTGACCTTTCAACGGTGATAAGAACTTCGGCGTGTAAAAAATTAGGGTAATAACCCTGTACATTGAAGTACGTAAAAAAAATATATAAATATCTATAGATATTTAATTAATTAAATTAGTTAATAAAAGTTTAACTATAAAACACAGTAAAATAGTTGTAAGATTCTATAGTAATAATTAAACATACAAAATTAAAAACTTTAATTGTACAAATCCAAACAAAACAATTACCTAAAATAAATTTACATAAAATAATAATTAAAAACTATTTGTATCTAATAGTGTAGATTTAGTTATTTTGGAAAACATCACATAATAATCCTGTTGAACAGAAGCAACATTTGAATACATTTTATAATCATGCAAAATATCCTTCTATGTAAGTACGTTTATACGAAAGTGAAAATATGGTATTCATAAAAAATATAATGTTAAATAGTGAAAACAATTATCTTGATAGGAACAAACATTGAAATTCAAACCATACTGTATAATAATATTTTATGACTTCGAATACTATTATTCTCGATTCGAATACTTACAAATAAAATAGTTTTCAATAATCAAGTGATAACGTAAGCTAAACGTAAGAATACAGTCACGAATTAATGGTAGTACATACAAGTGGCACGTTTCCACGTTCCAAGTTACGTCACTACCGTTAGAAACATAAGTTTAAGGTGATCTTTTAGTTTATTACTTAGTATCCTATATATTCATGTAGCTTACTTGAATATAATAACACATAAAATTAAGTTTGGCATATCCTTTTTAAAATTCTTGTAAACATTTATAATTTTTTTATATTTTGGCATTTATTTATTTAACGTACAATATTGTAATTTTCTAATTGGGTCGTGGTTTAGATAATATACCTTAAATATCACGAAAAGGTGATTTAAAGAACTTTAAATTAACCCCAAAAATAATTATATTAACAAAACACTTGACATTTTGTTTTGTATATTGTTCAACGAAATATATTTATATTTATAAACAGATTAGAGATCTATATAACTATGATTTATTTATTTTAAATAGTTGACATAAAACACTAAATTAAAATAACCTAAACAGCGATATGGTATAGTGCGATACGATAGATATACATATAAATATACCAAGGTTAGGTGCCTTGCAGGACCAGCAGGATAGCAGGAGTACAATAATGTAGAGTGCAGAAAATGATAAGTCCAACGTTAGTTGGAATAGAAAAAAACCATTAGAAATTTACAACATAAATTTGTACAGGTGAGGTCCCACAATCCCACATGACTGCGTGTTTTAATAAATTATGTAGACCTATATTGCAATGTAGGTACATTAATAGTTTTTTGTGTCATCGTCAACGTTAATCTCCACTATACTACCATTAATAATCGCTAAGACAGATAAAACGCCTATACCATTTTTAAAACAGTTTTATCCGTGGGTCAACATAACTAAAAAAGCAACAATAATTTATTGAAAAACTAGTTGTTTTCCCTAGGATCATCCATAGGCAAAAAAATCACGATTTTAAGGGTACTTGTTTTCAAACATTTTAAGTCATGAAGAATGTTCATCTGAAGAAATATAAAAATCAAAAGAAAATCGTGCGGCTCTTCTCCTAATAAACATCTACCCATTCGTTCGACGATGGTTAAGTTAGATTTATCTGAAATTCAATGTATCATTATCAATATCCATAGTAAAATTATTATTTTCACCAGTTCTCTGTTTGTATTCAATTATTTGGAAGCCTGATCATAAATAATATATTCCCAGTGTACTATGCGAAACTTTTTGTACTCTGTGAAAACGCATATTACACCAACTAGGTTTAATATGTCATTTGATCGCCGGACCGTAGTGTGCGTTACCGCACATGAGAGTAGGTATACACGTCAGTCGTTAGTAATTATTACTGATTGTGTTATAGTGAAATAACAATAATGCAATTCCCATCACGACCTTCTATTGTTATAGGCAAAACCGTGCAGAACGACTGAAAACAAGCGCAATCAATGTCAACCCGCTGATGATTCACGATTTGTTTTGTAATACATTCCGTACGTATATTTATTTTTGTACAATGAATAGTACCATAATATTATATCTATAATTTAGCCGTTTTGTACCTACCGGCTGTTCGACGAGTTTAAAACCGGTAAATACCCGGTCCGAGCTATTAGAATTGTCATCTCTATTTTTGTACATTCGAAACTACTTGGCTTTAAAACGAAAATAAGTATTCGATATTATACACAGCGTTCACGTATTTACACGAAACGCGCCCAAAAAAAGAAGCCTACAAGCTATGTTTGTACATGTATATTTAGAAGTACAAATAGTGTGATGCAAAGTATTTGACTAAAATTATCCAAAAAACTTTTTTGGTACTAATTAAATTCAATATTTAATGACAATTTTAAACCATAATATTTACAAATTAACATCGCTATAAAAATGTATAAATATACATTTGTATTGAGTGCTCAAATTAATATATGGTAAATATTGCATTATTCAAAAATTATATGAAATTAAGTATAAATTGTAACTCATTACTCGAATTATATCGTATAACATGAATATGTATTTTTAATACTGATTTACTTTTTTTTTTTATTAGAAAATGAATTTTAAGTATATTGCAGTATAAGAAACAATTTAAACATTCTTTAAATTCTTTACATCACACGGTAATATAGGTACCACATACAATCCTTTGATAATGATTAATAGTGCATTCTTAATTATAAGTGGTCATATGCAAATTATGTACATATAGTGTCAAACATGGCGTGTTTTATACAGATTGTGATCTAAACCCTGCAAGTAGTGCTCGAAGAAATAAATGCAAAATGGGCATGCCAATTGCAAAAATTATATTATTGTACTTACAAGGACTTTTCTTCCACGTGCGATGTCCTTTTTTTTAGTACAGAATGATAAAAAAAAAATAAAATAAATATTCATTAGATCATATTGGTAATAACAGAGTTGTTAACAGCTAAAAAAAAGTATATTATTGAATTATATGAATACACAAACAAGTATTTTTTTTTTACTTTTTTAGAAAGTACACAATCTGTAATTATTTTTTTTTACAATAAGCATACGTGTGGAATGTTTTTTTGTTGACATGATTAATGGTTGATAAAAAAAGCCACCCAGCGGTGACACTTTTTATACTTGCTCAGATAAAAACTTAATTATGGTTCATGAGGTCTCTACACCATTAGCGAGCCAATCGTTTAGGAGGATTTCCAAGGATATCTTTTGAATTTAGTTGCCTGATGAGGGGGTTTTAGTGGTTGGCTAAGCGGAACCGAAATCATTTATAGAAGATGGTTACATTTTTGTTTTGGCTATGGTGTTTATATTTAGATCGGAGTGTAAAATGTGGTTTGAAAAGTAAAGGGGTGCACTCGTTATCAGGCGAAGAGTGGTTGATTGAAATGCTTGCATTTTCCGAATTGTTCGATGGTTTAGCTACTCCCAAACCTGGATACCGTAAGACTAAATCGGAATTAATAGGATTCTGTAAAGGTTTAATTTATTTTTTAAGTTAATTTTTGATATTTTGATTAATAAAAAATAGAGGTCTATGCGTCATTGGTCGAGTTATAGTCTTTTTTTTTTTTTAATGTGGTGAACACAGGTGTTTTGTCTAGATGCAAACCTAAGTAGTGAGCGTTTGAAACAAGAATTGAACATGGAATTTTACGAAGAACGCTCACGCTTAAATATTACATATTACCGTTGAATTTTCTAAAAAAACCTTTGCCTATATTACACTGTCGCTACGGTGTAGTTTAATATTAATAGTTATACAAACTTGGAAGTGGTTTTGAAAAAGTTGGACTCTCTGTTCATGAGTTCGGAACGGAACTTGGTCATCTCGTCTTCCATCTTTCGCATTTCAGCGTCGAAACGCTCACGGATGTTGCTGAACTCGGAGTCGATCACGCTGAAGTCGCCCAATTTGATAGGGATGTCTCGCTTGACGCCACTGTTATGTGCCATTTATGTTTAGGGAGAATGAAATCGATAACCGGACAAGGGACGAGGGGTTTTTACGGCTGTTTTACGACGTGTGTGTAGCGCAGCGGTGAACGCGACAACGTATTTTAATATCTGTACGCACGGTCGTTATATTGTATCGATACGGGTAGACGGTGTTATAGAAATTGATCGATGTTTTCGACGAGCGAGAGAATGAGAGAGAATGAGAGAGAGAGATCGATAGTGAACGACGGTGAGCACGTGTAACGTACGAATGAACACTGACGACAGCTGCGAATGCGCACTTGGTCTATATGAGTGAAAAATCGAACGCCCACCATTTTCACGCGGATGCTGGCCAAACGCGCACGCGCCAACCGTTGACACGTACGCGCGCGCGCCCATTCTCTTTCTCATTCCAAAGCTTCGGCACACATCGTAAATACGCGCGCGAAACGGTCAGCAATTAATAATTTACGTTTCGCAGCAGCGTGGGCGGCTGTGCCAAACAAAATATTCTAGAAACTTCCTCCAATGCTGACGAATCATTGCTTACGTGTATACGTATATACGTACCACACCGAGTGCGCTGTGCACTGGTTTATTTTTATTTTTTCTTACGTTCGCGGCACCACCTATGTACCACGGGCATGACGGTAACGAGCGCCTCCCCGTCGCTATGGAACCAATTGGTGTACGAATACTCTATGGTATAGGTACACCTTTATTTGGGTATTGTTATCTCAGGTAACCGTGACGCGGAAATATCTGTTCGATCGGAAATCGTTTTAATGTGGAACACCGTAGACGTCAATTAATCGATTCTCGATAACTGTTGATGTGTTGTTGATGACTTTTCGGCGGATCGGGATCGTCGACGTTAACAAATAAAGTTAATATAAGATATTAACAGATAAAGTTCTTGCGAAGCTCTGGTAACGGATTATTAAACGGTTGTGCTGATGATGGTCGTTGAATGTTCACTATTCGACAATTATTCAGCTCTCGGATAACAATGAATTTATTTATTTACATCAATTTTTTACATTACTACCAAGAACTTTTGCAAAACAGTTATCTAATGCGCTATAAAATAATAAAACTATATATAAAAACTATTTATAAAACCCACGAATCTTGATTTTTTTTCTCTACATTTATAATAACATTGAAAACATTTTCAAACACGGAAATATATACAAAAATCTTTTAAATTTATGTAAATAAAATAGAAAGAAAACTTATTGATTCATTTTAACTTAAAACCCAAAATTTTAACTAAGATAATAAAAACTATTTAATCGAATTGTTTCAGTTTTATTCCAAGGTGAAATATAGTATACTTATATTTCATATTATGTAATCAACATCAATCGACTTAGAATTTCAGAAAAAATATTATATTAAAATCCAACTTTCTTTCAATTAAACGATATATCATATTTTAAGATATATAGTTAAACAATGAAAAATTAATGAATTTTTATTGATTTTAAAAATTGATTATGATGTTATCATTTTATATTTCGTAATTTTCATTTTTTGTAGTAAAACTGGATCAAACATTATATTTTTGATTATTTAATTTAGTCTTATAATGGATTGTTATGATTTGTATTTAAAATAGAATAGGTCAATTTTGTATATATATATTATATTGTTAGTTTTCTAAATTTATTGTATGACGTAACGATTATTTAATCTATTTTTACCTAAAATTTATTATATACAGGCAAGGGTGCCCATAGGAAAATTCTCAAGGGGGGACAACATTTTTATTTATCAATCTATTCATAAATAGGAATGACCCACGATATAGGAAGGGGTTTACAATTTTACATTATACTATTACATTATATATATATCAAACTGGAAGACTATAAAATAATAATTATTTAACCAATTTACCATAAAAGTAATTTATTCAAATTTTTATTTAATTAATAATATAAATTGAACACTTAAAACATTATTTATATTTATTAAAATATTAATTTACAAATATTATATAAATATTATAGTGGTGTACACACACACACATATATACATACCGTATTTCTGGAAATACACAATATTTTAAGAATTGATAACTATCCATAGAATAGAAACGAAAAAGCGTATAGTTATTTATAACTGATAATTTGATTTTCCAAACTAAATAAATAGATTTTTCATGAACAAATTATAGATTTTCATATATTAAATTAAATTTTTAAATTATATTTAAATAAATATATTCTGATCATAGTAAATAATTTTCCAAGATTTTTGACATTTTCCAGGGGGGGGGACATGTCCTTCCCTTGCCCCCCCCCCCATATGGGCACCCTTGTATACGGGACCTGGTAAATAACTGTGACCTATAACAAATATTCAACATCATCTCTTTCGAAAATTTAACTTATAACTCAGTGCTTCCCAAACATTTTCGACTCACGACACCCTTTTTGATCTAAGGTTTTTTCGGGGCGTCCTTCGCCAAGTCATAACATGACTAATTATAAGAAACATTTTAGACCAGATGATATTTCATGATGGCCCGGCACCCCTGTATAGACATCGTGGCGCACACTTTGAGAACCGCTATTATAACTTATATACTTACTTCCAAGATCTAGCCAAAAAACTGTATGAAAATGTTGATTATAATTGGTACTTTAAAAATGTAGATATTTAGTTTATTCTAAGATTTGAATCTCCATAATCGAGTAAAGAGATTTTAAAATTGTTTGTTTGAATTGGTTATTTATAAAATGTATTCGAAATTTAAAATCGTTATAGGTAATACAAATTTAGTTTTTAGATTTTAATAAATTTCAAATATTTTTTTTATTAATATGATAATATATTTGCCATCAGGGGCATCCTTAGGAAGGGACAAATGGAGTAGTCATGGCCTTTTTTTCTTCAAATTGTTGTTATTTATTATTTATCCCATACTAGGAAAATACATTTATAAAGTTCGCATTTCTTTATAAATGGACTAGGGAAGCCGCTGTTTGTTATTAAGTCAATAATAAATTAATGTCATAAATTATAAACAATTATATTACAATACGATTTGCATTCAAAATAATCTATTAAAATTATTGAAACATATCTTAGTATTTACTTTTCTTCGTAATAGTACTCTTTGTGTTGCATATATTTTTCAATTTATGTAACTTCAAAGCAATTATTTAGTTCCGTACCATGGTTTTAAAATTTAATGTAATCACAAAAGTAAATGGAATCGTATAATAAATATTTACTACTTAAATACCAGTTCACGATAAGATAATAATTTATAAAAATTGTATTTTTTACATAACCATAACTTCCTAATATCATTTTAAGGCTAATGAAAAATTCCATAATATGCAATAGATAACTCTGGCAATTTGTACACGTCTACCACGTATAATATACTACGTGCAAGACGTAGAATCATTTCTATCCCCTAACAATTCAAAATTTCGAATGAAAAATGTATTCATGTTCCACAATTTAGTATAATACAATATGTTTTTCGTTAAACCGATGATAAATGCGATCCTTTGCGCTCGCCAAAAATCTAAATCCAAAAGTCCATTTCGACGGGTTAGTAATACCATTACCAAATATAAATACTTCATTGTATTTATAATCAATGGTACTTTTAATGATACTATAAGAGAGTATTGAGTACTCAAGAGACAGTAAATTTCAAAATTTGGCAAGAGGCAAATTATAAAATATTTAACAATATGTGACCTATGCTAATGACGTAATAGAATATAATATGATCGACGTTGGCTACAAGTCGATGTCGGGCTTTACACGAGGCGGATCGTTCGAGAACCACTAGTGAACTACAATACTGAATTAAATACTGATGGTATCTTTAAAATTATCGAAAACTGGATGTAAAACGTAAATGTGTATATGCGCATTCCGTGAGCCTTTGTAAAATAATTATATATATAACATAAACGTATACGTATACGTTTCAGCTGATTCATGTACGCGTTACACATTAATATGTGTGTAACGTATTAGTTTTTCATTAAGCATCGATGCAATTCCGTCATCCGTTTATAGTAATGTTACGATCGCAATCGAAATCGTGGCGGCCACGGCGGCAGGAGCAGCGTGCACCAACGATCTTACTACACAAAACGACCACGCAGGACGAAAAACGAGTCTTGAACGGGCGTATAATATGATGGGTGACTCATGCAACGCCGCCGCCGTTCGCCAACACATGCGTGACGTCAGTGTTAATTTAACGACCACGTATTTAATAGATACATTTTGTACACACAGAGACCCCCAGTGACGGCGCAAAGTTTATTTTTCTATGAAGCAGTTGCGTGCATTGGATGTCCACCCCAAATCAAAGTTTTAGATCCCGAGTTCAATTGTACTCGTAGATACATAAATATTGAACATACGGGTCCAAACAAAATAATGTATAATAATATTTTACGTCAAATGTGCAAATTGTGCAACTATTTTGTCACAAAACACTACCTACCCACCTCATTTTAGTCATGAAGCAGCTGCATCAATAAAACCCGAAACGCGTCGTCACTTGAAACCCCTATACTTGGACGTGCACAGGATATTTTAGGGTTACATTCGATTCGGTCGTAACTGCGATTTGTTTCCGAGAGTTCGTAAGAATAATTACCATACTTATAAAATAAGGTTTGGGATGCTAAAACAATATAACTTATGAATTTTATTGTGAATCTATGATCAGTAGGTTATCGATATCTGGTTCTTAAATCAACTAGAATATAATTGACAGCATAAATATTTATATGAATGTATACGTAGATATAATATTTTTAACATACTTCGGCATTATTGAATATTTATTAACTTTTGAACCAAATTGCCAAGCATATGATTATCAAATAGTAAACAAATACAGTGGATTATGTGGTGTAATTAAAGACTTACGGTACCACCGTACTTAGATTTAAATTTAAATTTTACAGTTCATGAACCCCAGACATTAATCCTGGTATTAAACATGAGCATCGCATATAATATTA